TTAGATAGAAAGAATGGGAATCTATCAGGAATTGGAAAGCATTGAAAAGATTTTGAGTAATCATAAATATCAAACAGGCCCTCACTGGTGCCTGTCAATATACTTCGCTAGTCTCCCCAGGTGAATATAAGCCCCTCAAGGACAGGACCCGGGTCTGGGCTGTTTATGTACGACTAAGGTGTGCCACAGGCCTGGCACTTAATAACTATTTGGTGGATGGAGAATATCAAACTATTCTGATGACAAAGGCACTTGGAACAAGTTCCTGATTGTGGAAAAATAGAAACATTTTTGCTCCTTTCTGGGAATCCCTAAACATATGTGCATCCTTTACCATGAGCTGAGCATGGGTCGGTACTGGTGAGGCACTAGCTCAGGCAGCAAAGATGGTGTAAAAGAGAACAGGCACTTAGGACCCAGTGGCCTTGAGTCATCCTCCATCACATGGGGAGACTATTTTGATCAAGTGGAAATTGAGTACAAATGTGGATAAATAAGAAGAAAGGGTAAGGGGTGAACAACCCCTAAGCACGATTCCTTCCTCCCCTGGAGATGCACCTGAGGGCCTTGGTACCTGGCTATGTGGCTCACGGTCCTGACTGCGGAGCAGACCCTCCTAAGGAGCTTTCAGAAGCATGCCATCTGTCCCACCACCGGCCAGCGGAGTGGGAACCCCTGGGAGCAGGGCACAAGCCCTGGGTGGCCATCCTCTATCAGAGAGGTGAGCACGAGGCCCCTGGGTTTGCTCTCACCCCACATGGAAAGCCAATGAACCCCTGGAACAAACAGCAGAGACAAGAAGTGAAACACACTGGAAGTAGATGTATTTCTCCTGAATCCCATCTTTCTTATGTGACTGAGTGGCCCTTACTCAGATGCTGCGCTGTCCCTAGGCTAACAGTGTCTCTCACACCCACCCCACCCCCTTGAGCCCATGCCCAAGGAAGGGAAGGAGCTACCATTGCAGGGGTGCTCTGGGCACCAGCAAGAGCCCAACATGAATTATTCATCACTGCCTCCTCCCCCCCATCATGCTCTCAAGATGGAGCCCGCAGGGCCGACACAAAGTCCAAAAATGTGGGAAAGTTTATTTATTTCTCCAAAACATTCCTGATTTGTAATGTGCTTTCTAAAAATGTTCTAGCTGACCCAGCCCCTGCTATATTTAGCCACAGCATTTAAAGAAATGTTCCTTACCCTTTATAAGGCGGGCCATGAAACATGAATTTAGGAAAAGCGGCTCCCCAGTCTGGTCCCTTTGTCCCTGGGAGAGGGGTGGAGCCTCTCCTTGACCTAGAGGCGCGTGGTCCTGGTGCTCCGGGCAGGGACAGCAGGGGGAGGGGGCAAAAATAAAGAGTTGCATTCATTCCCAAGGCCCTTGAGTTCACAATGGCTGGATGGCCAGCCCTGGGAAGTCCCTTCTAAGCTCTCGGGCAAAGAAGGAAACACCAAAGGACTGGCTCTCCTCTGTCTGTGAAATTGCTCTCCTGTGGTTTCCAAGGATCCCCGGCTGGGTATGGCAGTTTTTTAAAATTTTTTTTTGCTTTTGGTTTCGTGTTCGAATGGTTGGATCATCTCAAGAGCTATCAGACTGCAAGGAAGAGATGAAATGGCTGCCAGCCGTCCCCGGACGAAGAACTGGAGAAGTCTGCCCAGGAGGCTCCCGCGACCTCGGAATTATGGAACGCGAGCAGGACTGTGGGTTCATGATTTTGTTACGAAACCGAGACATCACAAATGCACTCGTAAAACAAAAGTGTTTAGATTAGAGGCTATGCCTGTATACAGAGATGAGACCTCCCATTTACCGAATGCTTCCTGCACGCCAGATATTTTATGTATATATATATTAACTGTTTTGGGCTTCCTTGATGGCTCAGACGGTAAGGAATCCTCCTGTAATGCAGGAGACAAAGGTTCAATCCCTGGGTCAGCAAAATCCCCTGGAGGGGGCATGGCAACCCACTCCAGTATTCTTGCCTACAGAATCCCATGGTCAGGGGAGCCTGGCAGCTACAGTCCATGGGGTCACCAGTTTAGTTCTGACAGCTGCCCGATGCTGAAGGCTTTAGGACTAGTCCATTTTTCTGGTGAGAACTAGGAACTTAGACCCACCATAAAATTTACTCCTTACAACAGCTTGACGAGGTGGTTACTAACATTGCCCCCATCTGTACAGGTGAGAAAGCTGAGGCACAGAAGGGTTAAGTCATTTTGTTGATGTCACACAGCAACTGGGTTATTAGCAGAGCTGGGTTATTAGCCTCTGTCTGGTGGGCACAATCTTGATGAGGTTAACACACTCCCCCCTCCTTCACCTGAACCTTGAATCACTGAATGGTAACGAGTCTTAAGACATTAATGGGAGGGTTTTCTTCACAGTAGGTGTGTCTGGAGAGACCTGGGAACGTGTGGAGCAGGAGAAGGTGACCACTGCCTAGGAAAGAAGTGTGACCCCGGGAGGAGGGTATGCAAAGTGTTCATTTTGCACAGGATGGGTCCTGAGTCCAGCTGTAAGCTAGGTGTTGTCCAGGGTGACATGGGCTTGTGAGCAGCAGAGGGCCACCCCCCTTCCCAGAGGCCCGACCTCGCCGCTGCTGGGCTAGGACACTTTCTGGAAGTGTTAGACAGCCTCTGTCACGTTCTGCCTACTACCCAGGAAGAAACAGCTTTGTTTTAAATGCTCAACAAACACAAACGGATACAAACTATGTGCAGTCATCCCAGGCCCCAGCAACTCAGCAAGACATTCTGGTCTCGGCCCTTGGACGCCAACAGTGTGGTCCGGGCCCCGGAGGAAGGAACCCCTCCTCCACTGTCCTGGCCACGCTCAGTTTGAATTGTCCCCACCGTGGCGTGTTCTGTAGCCCTCTCTGCCCTATGGACTGCTGTTACCTGGGCTCCCTGTAGGCTGGACTTCTGGTGGATTTAGCCATTGGGAGCACCTTGGTGAGGGTGGAAGGCAGAAGAGGAGTTGGGTGTTTCTGCTCAGCTACTCTCAGTGCTCCAGTGGCATCTACACTCATTCCGCCCACTCCCCTGAAAACAGTCCCTCTCCCCCAGTCTTCTTCCAGTGGCTCATCTAAGTCAGGTTCTGTTTCCTCCTGGAACCCTGATTTTCACTCTGATAGAAAAGGAAAGTTGTGACAAATCTTTGCCCAGTCGGGCCCAGGCCCCACCACTCACTGTGACTCTCTCTAAGTCACTGTACCATCTATGGGGATCTGTCTGACTCTGCAGAACCCTGAGTCTGAGGCCTCTGGATAAAGACAAATGTAGATGAGAACTTGCTACTTGGGTATTCAGGCATACAGATTGCTTGAAATGTGGATTTTAAAAAAAGCTTTTACTTTTCCAACAAACTCATGCTCTTCAATTTTAATAATGAAGCTGGATTATTATCATGTGTATTGTTGACTGTATGAAGCAACCCCTGCTTCGTGGAAATAAGATTCCAGCCACTGTGAAGCATACCGAGTCATGGCACTCACACGGTGCATTCCTGGCAGACAGGCTCCGGCCTTCAGCTGCAACAATAAAGTCCAGTGCGCCTGATTCATTAACCCACACGTGGACAGACACCGAGCACTCTTAGTGAAACGGCAGAGACCGCAGGTAGGCACCTTTCCAGAGAGGTGCGGTTGTACTGGAAAATGGCAGGACACATCCTGTTCCTCCGGTTCTGGAAAACCTCATGGGGCATGTGAGAACCAGGAGGCCATCAGCTTCCACAGGATCCAGGAAATACCCAAGAGCGGACAACACAAAGGCCTTTGCAGGGTCCCTGCACCCTTGCAAAAGTCTGGGAAGTAGAGGTCTCAGGGGGGTATGTCTTCCAAGACTCTTTCATAATGTCTTTGTTAGTTTCACTATAATAGTGCAAAAAACTAAATTATTCCTTGTTCAAATTCTATAGCGAAACAAAATCTTTCCCAAAGTGCCAGTACTTGGGTTATTCTAAAAGAAATCAGCACTTGCTCTGAGTCTATCTGCCTCAACTACGCAAAGAAAGATGAATTTCTGACCATTTGTGTGTGTAGAATATATATAAACATGTGTATATACACATACACACATATGTACATGTGTACATACATACATATACACTTACTTATCATTGTACATACACCTGCCATATCCCCCATTGTGATCAGTGTATTCGTGTGTGTGTGTGTGTGTGTGTGTGTGTACACGAGAGAAAGATCACCTACAGGAAACAGAATCTGTCCCTTTTGTGTAGATGAGAACATAGAGGCATACTTTACATTGCCCAAGAACAGGACAATATGGTTGCTTCTGGTTTACTCAAAATTTAGGTGATTTTGCTTTTATTAAGAGGGGAAACCTTTCCTTGGTCTCATTGATCCATAACCAGGAGCACATGACTAAAACTGGGACATTAGAACAGCTATTTGGACAACTACGTCCCAAAGCCCCTCTTTGTCCTTAGCAGGGAGTAGAGCACATGGAATTGTATAGAATCCACAGAAAACGACCCCACTGTTCATTTCTGTTTGCTTTCCTCAACCAGATGAATGTGGGGCTGAGGTAAGAGAATTCCTCCTTATGTATGTATGAACGCTTACAGAGTGACACGTACTCCTGCCTTTTTCCTTCTGTGCCAGAAAAATAATGTTTGTACTATACTTTTTGGAATTGTAACTCTAAAATGCCATCCTTTTTAAATGACGCTATTAGAATATTTGCTTCCCCAGAAATGAGCCATCATAAGTTAACAAAAGAGAGCAAATCAAACATAAAGAGAAAACATTAAAAGCATATCCCGCTCAGCAGAATCTTCATCTTATTGGGGACCCTCAGGCAACACCCTCCAGTCCTGGGGTTTTCTGTCCTGCCCTCCAGTCCATGCAGAAGCCCTCCTCTCTCAGAAGCCAGAGCCCGAGAAACGCTGCTGGGGTTCCCAGATATGATCCCAGTCTCCCCTTTTCTGTTATACTCTTTGTTCCCCCCAGTAATCCACTGAACCAGTCCCTGAGAGGTTAATGAAAAAAACAACTTTATTCACAGAGGTTGAGACTTCGGGATAACAATAGCCAACAAACGGCCCTTCCAGCACATTGTAAGTTAATCACAGTGATCTTGGGTCTCAACACGGTTCATCAGAGTTCTTAACATCAAGGACGCTGAAGCTTGCCCACCACAGTGCTCCCACCAGCCCGGGCGGAGCTTGGACATGGACGCTCCTGGGGGTCAGTAGCAAATGGCCTTCAGCATGAATTCTCAGTCACCTCTGTGTTTGCTAATTCATAAATTATTCTGTTTGTCTGAAATATCATTTCCAACATATTAACCAACAGGCTCTCAGATGTGATGTTTGTGTTCACTTTTATATAAGTTCTGGAAACTGCTTTAATCCGCTTTAAAAAATTATCTCAAAGACCCATCTCTGCCTCCCTCCAGGAACTGACTTACTGTGCTTTTCCCACATTTGATAAAATTAAAGTAGCTGGGAGGTTCAGGAAATCGAGTCTCAGAACCGCCACCACAACCCAAAGAGATACCGTGAGAGCTTAGATGCATTCCCCCAAAGTTCCCAGCTGAAGTGGGCTGTGAAAATCTCAATTTCCATAACCACATCTTTGTCTCAGCCCCCTGCCCTCCCGCCCACTCCTCGCCCCAGACTTGCAGTCACCTCCAAAAGGTGTTTGTTTAGCTGCAGGCTCTGGGCCTGCCTAGCTGGCACTTGGAGGGAGGAGGAAGCTGCCGTTGGCCAGGGAGCCTCCCACCAAGCCTCCTGTTCCTGGGGGCCCAGAGAGCTGACCACCCCCAGACCCCAGGGGACTCCCTTGCTCTTCTGAGAGCTCACCCATCCCTGCCTCCACTTGCTTTCCATGTGCTTGTTTCACCCAACTCTTCAGGTTAAAAATAGTCCTTCACCACACAGTTCTGCAAAATGTGGCAACAATCAAGCTTCCCTAATCCTCATGCACTTCCGGTGTCCCTAGAAATGTTTTGACCCCTTAAACAATAAAGCTAAGAGATAGGATGTCTGTGGTTGGTAACAGGCATTGGAGAGCACGGGTTTTGACTAAGGAGCTATCGAACTATCTATTGTAATGCAACAAAATGCTAAGTTACACAGAGTGCACTTTTTAAATAGAGGTTGTTAATACAGATGTTCACAGGGCAACCCTTATAGTAAAAAGAATCAAGCTTTTAGCCAAAGAATATAGCGTGTTCCTTTTACTATCTAAAAGGAAAAGAGAGAAAATTTCTCTATTTACAATGAAAGTGTGGTCTCTCAGCTTCCGCCTGAACATTGGTCTTAAGTCCTCATCAAGCCCTAGGATCTGCAAAAGAACCTAAAAAACAGGTTGCCCCTGGTGTCCCCACAACTGGACCTTAGCGACAAACCCAGCTATGAACACCCATCACTCCGTGGAGCCCAAAGCCAAGGCCTGGGCCACAGTGACAGCCGAGCTGGCGATGGTCAGATCGTGGCTCTTAGACAGAAAGGACCACACTGCGGTCATCTGCCTGCCCTCCGATTGTCTTCGCCCTCCCCCACTCCCTCCAGACGCGCAGGACCTGTCTGGGTGCTAGTGGAAGATCATGCCATCAGACTGACCTAAGGTTCAAGGAATTTTCCTGCGCCTGCGGTAGGAGGTCTGAGATGCCCAAGTCGCAGCGTGGGCAGGGTCTTTTAAATCTCCGAAGCTGTTCCAGTTCTGGGAAGGTCCGTCTTGCAGGAGGCAGGGGAGTGTGCCCACTCGTGCAGCTGAGGATGCAAATACTTCCCACGATCCATATGCAGTCAGAGGAAATCATTTATTTTAAAACGCGACTACTTTCTCAGCGGTGGGAGCCCTGCTTGCTCACACGGAGCTCAGACCAGGGCGAGGGAAAGGAGCCGCCGTCTGCTTTACTGGAAATGAAGCACCGCTTCCGGGAGCTGCAGGGGGAAATAGGAGAGAAAGGGGATCCCGAGCTGGTAGAAGCCGCCCTGGACGTGCGGGTCGAGCATCAGGGAAGCGTTGAAAGGCGGACGGAGGCTGGAGGAGGTGGCCAGAAGCGAGGCGCCCAGACAGCTGCCCGGCCCCTGCTTGGCGCACCCCAGGAGCTCGCCCCCTCCAGCCGGCTTCTGCCCCTGCCGTCGGGCCAGAATGCTGTCTATGCTGAAGCTCTTGGACTTGTCCGAGCTCTTAGGAGAGCTGCGGGAGGCGGGGCGCGGAGGAGTCTCCGGGCCGTCCACCGTGCGCTCAGGCTGGCCGACAGCCACCGCCGCTGCGCCCTGGAGCGCGTCGCCCGCGTCCCCATCTGGGGACCCGGGCCCGGGCCAGGGGAGGGACGCTGGCGGCGGAGAGGAGGCTTCCCGAAGGGGCGAGGGGCGCGCGGGCGCTCTTTCCTGGATGGGGGTCGCGGGGCGGGGGCGCCCTCCCGCGCTCCGCACCTCCGGAGGCGCCTCTGAGCTGCTCTCCTGCGTCTCGGCGCGGACCCGCTTGGCCTCCGGGCCCCCCGGGCCGGGCTTGGGCTTTCTCTTCCGGCGCCGGTAGTTGCCGTTCTCGAACATATCCAGGCAGCGAGGGTCCAGCGTCCAGTAGCTGCCCTTGCCGGGTCGCCCTTTCTCGCGGGGCACCTTGACGAAGCAGTCGTTGAGCGAGAGGTTGTGGCGGATGCTGTTCTGCCAGCCCTGCCGGTTGTCGTGGTAGAAGGGGAAGCGGTCCATGATGAACTGGTAGATGCCGTTGAGTGTGACCCTCTGCTCAGGCGCATCCTGGATCGCCATGGCGATGAGCGCGATGTAGCTGTAGGGCGGCTTCTGGGGGGGCTCCACCCGGCCCGAGGCCGCCAGCGCGCCGGCGGGGGCGAAGGCCAGAGGCAGCCCGGGTCTCTCGGGGCCGTACAGATAGAGCATGGGCGAGGCGGCCAGAGCAGGCAGCCGGGGGCTGAAGAAGTGGCTCATGGCGAGCGGGAGCCCGTGCGGCGCTCCCGGCGATGCCTGAAACCCGGGCGGCTTAGGGACAGCGCCCCGCGCCGCAAGGGCCCTCCCGGGGAGCCTGCCCTGCGTCTGCCTCCCGCTCCGCCGCTCTCCCCAGCCGCTCCGCGCTCTGTCCCTTCTTCATGGCTTTAAAAAATGTTAAATAATTGTTGTAAGTTTGCTATTATATGTTGACTTAGCGCTGGAAAATAAATTGTCTATGATAAACAGTCGCTGTGTTCTCAGCCCACCCACATTAATTAAAATTTCATTGCTGAAAAACTCCAAGCTTTTCCCTCCACGTGTCTTTTTGATACCAGCCAATCGGTTTCAGGGTTATTCCTTCATTTGTTTATAGAATTAGTCTGTTGATAAGTCCGCCCACCCAAGTTGAATCAAGCTGTGTTTATTTGGAAAAATTTCCGGGCACCCAATATATAAACGCACTGATCTGATGTTTGAAATATCACGTCCACCCCTTGACGCTGTAAGCACACACAGTCAGTCAGGCAGGATGTGGATCGAGGTGGCTCGGGAGCAGGGTCTGCCCCACCAGGAAGAAGAGGTGGAGCTGGGAGGGGCGCAGGGGTGAGTTTTACCTCTGGCCTGGGGGAGCCCCGAAATCCCATGGCCTCCCACAAAAGACCTTTTCTTCTCCCAGGCTTAGTAGGAGATGGAGAGATGACACAGTCTCATAAATGCCTTCTGAGGTCTTGGAGAGCTCTCAGATATTTTAGCAGGGGAGAGGAGATAGATGAACGCCTGATTAGAAGAGGATGCAGCCCTCCTCTGAGACATCCTCGGGATGCCCTGGAGGAATTGGGCGGCTGGGTGGCGGGGGGTGTGCTCCCTAGGGGCCTCACATCCCAAAATGGGCAGGCCTGCCCCCCTAGGGCTCCCTGGGGATCCAAGAAGACGATCCCAGAAGCCCAGCTTTTCCAATGCCAATGGCACGGGGCACTGAGAGTTGGCGAAGGCGTGCAGTAGCGGGTCCACAGCTTGGTTGGGAGCAAGTTTCAAAATCACCCCTTTTGGAGAGTCGAGGGGGAGAAGCTAAGGTCTTTCTGATGGGGCTGAGATTGCAAGGAGGAACACCATAAAAGGGGAATTTGGCAGCTGGCGCGGGAGAGCTGGTATTTGTGAATGCGGGTCTCTTGCTTTATATTCTGCGCTTTCCTGTTTATAACAAGGAGGGGGTTATAACAACTTTACAAGTGCACGCAGCTGGCCCGTGATTACATTAAGCATTTGGGAAGCCTGCTCGCTTCCCCCCCTCCACCCCACCCACTCACCCTGGGGTGTAAGCACTCCCCACCCTGACTCATTTTACATTTAGCCACGTCCTGGTTTGAATCAAAAACCTTGATGATGCTGATTTAGAAGGAGGTGTCTCCCCTACTCTGCTGCCTTTGGGGAGGGGGGTGGATTGGCACTTAACATGACTAGTTCCTGTTTATGATCTTTGCTGGATATATTTTAAAAGAAAGAAAAAGCTCAGGATAACTGAATTAACATCTCATTCAGTAAACCATGTGGATGCCCAAGAAGAAGAGGGCGGGGTGAAGAGGGAACGTGGTGGTAGCTTGAGGAAGGACACTAAAGGTACCTTAAGGCACGTTTGCTGCCTAACTCCTTAGGGCTGTCCCACTGTCACAGAGGTGACACCATGCTGGGGACCGGCCACCGGGGCTCAAGTCATCTCTGAACGTGGAAAAGCAGGGAGAATCCCAACTCTAAAATGGAGGATCCAGAAGGTAAAGCCTGTGTTTGGGGGTTCTGCAGAGACCACAGGGGAGCAGGGACGTTTGAAATACCTAAGAGGAAATCGCTGACAGGGTCGAAAAACCGGTTTGGGTGCAGGCAGGGCTTGAGGGAATGCCAGGTCAGGCCCCGGGACACATTCAGGCCTCTGTCCCCAGCACTGCTTTTCTAACTTAAGCCCAGTGTCCCGCTGGTCCCCGCCTGGGTCTCGAGGATGGCCCTCTAGCCAAGAGGGGGCGGGGCGCTGTATTCTTTCTGGATCCCTGGCTTTCATCGGAGCACCACACTTCAATCCTGGGATGGAAAAAGAACCTCAATGTCGGCGCTTCTGCAGCCCACGGGCTCCACGGGCTCCAGAGTCACCCCAACCCTCCAGATCAGCGCGCTTCCTGCAAGCTCAAGTTTGCATCCGGCCTTGGTGCCGGCTCCAACAGACCCAGAGCGAGAGACACACCGGTGTTACTGCGCGGTCCCTCGCCCCTCACCTCCTCACCCGAGCCCTCCCTGGAGTTTCCCGGACACCCAGCGTCCAGCACGCACAGCCCTGCCTGAGGCGCGCCACCGCGGCGCTCCTTCTAAACTAGGAGGCAAATCCGAGCTTGAATTCTTACAATGATAAACACCGCCCAATTTGGGCATGGGCGGGACGCAGGCGGAGACACGCGCGGCTGGTGGGCAGGGCACTGATAGTAAAGAAAAAACAACCCCAGTTCTAGCGGCCGTCTGGAGAGGCGCGTCCCGCTCCACGTGCTGGCAGCAGTTAGCAACCTCTCTGGGAGGTTCTGGCCACAGATCTCCGGCAGGGCGCCCCGACCCGGCTCCGGCGAGGGGTCGGATCCTGGGTTCCCAAATGAAGTGTGTAACTGAAGCCGAGGACGCCGCGGGCAGGAGCCCCGAGTGGGGGCTTATTTCCGGGGAGCGCCGGGCACAGGCGCCGAGAGCCGAGTGTGGATGCGCCCTCGTGCGGAAGCTCTGTCGGTAGACTCACTGGGGGACCAACCGAGCCTGGGAGACGGCGGGGAGACAGGATGACTCAGAGAGCCAGATGGAGACACTGACCGTTCCCTGCAGGTTCAGAAGTCTTCAGGTCCCGGAAAACACATTCATCTGTGAAGTCAGTGGGCGCGGGTCTCCCAGAAATCACGCTTCCGGAAGGACCGGGGCAGTTCCAGCTCCGGGGCCCAGCGTGGGACGAACCATTCCCAGCGCCCTGGCAGGAAGCCTGCTCCTGGGGCTGGTCAGGCAACCAGCCGGGACCACAGAGGCCCCACAGATAAAGGCTTGGGGTGGGGGGACAGCAGCTGCTCTTGTGCCCCACCCCCATACGCCCTTCTTCTGTTTCACCGGTAAATAAAGAAGGCTGACATTCAAGTGAACCATGATCTGCATCGTGTTCCCGAATATCTGCCTCACTTTTCTAAGTGTGAAGACAGTTAACACGTTGTGTGTGTGTGTGTGTGTAGAGGTAGGGTGAATGAATGATTCTTCCTTAAGTCTGAGAAGAGTAGCACTATAAAGATGCAAGATCGCTTTACTGACAATCTAAAATGTTGAGGAGAATGATAGTAATAAGGATAACATTAATAGCTAAATCTGTCTTGAATTACTATGTGCTGGCACTCTTCTAAGTGCTTTCCTTGTATTAAGTCACTCCATTCTCACCGTAATCCTAAGAAACAGAACTTTAAAAAAAAATCATTCCCATTCTGCAGACCAGGAAACTGAGGCCAGGAATTTGACTTGCCTCAGGTCTCCAAGAGGAAGTGTTCCAAAAACAGGGAAACAATCACATTATAATAGCTACTGTGTGTGGATGCTGAGGACCCTGTGGAAATTCTGTTGAGAACCCTGCCACCATCTACAGAAGATGGGAGGATGGATTTGCCCATTTTACAGATGAGGAGACTGAGGTCAGGCAGAGAGCACCACAAAACAATGAAGGTAGTAAATAGCACAGGTTGGAATCCACATGGTTTCCTCCAAAGGTTGATTCACTGCAGTTCGACACCCTCAGTTGAGCACAGAAGCTGAGAGGTGTGTCTGGAGTAATCAAGGTGGGGGGGAAGGGGAACCCTCTGGAGAGGAGAGGTGTGTGCCGTCCCACCCCCCAGAGCTGGGAGATTTCGGGCATTGTAAGTAGGAGACCCAGAGTCCTCACTTACACCCTTCCAAAACCGGGGAGACTCTTTCCTCCCCTGCCCTCCTCTCCCACTTTGAAAGGATGGGGAGTAGTGTCGTCTGCTTCTCTCAGGGGACTTGAGCCACGAAGGTAAGGGCTGGCTGGTCAGCTGATGCTGATTTATTCCCAGAGAGCAGGGGCAGTTGGGCCTGGGCACTGCCCTGCCCAAGCACATCAGCATGTAGCTTGATGTACGCAGCTAATTGAGATCCAAGGATCCTTTCTCTTCTGTTGTCCAGGTACATCCTAATAGCAACAGTCTTTATGATGGACTTGACATTTGGAAGCACTTTCCACACAGGTGTTGGGTTCCTTAGTCTTCACGACAGCCCTGTTCGATGATCCTGCCACTTTTTCAGTTGAGAAAGGGGCTCAGAGAGCTTGAGGTAACATGGCCCAGGTGCGTGAACCCTCAGCTGGCCTGTGTGCGCAGGACTTGAGTTGGTGCCTGTGGGTTCCGGTTAGAGAAAAAACTTCCTCTGGGGAGACCATCTGGAAAAACAACGCGAGGGCACAGAGAGTGTCCAGAGGGGCTGCTAGAAAGGTAGGACCCAAGGTCAAGGGCCACTGAGCCTCCCTGAGGTCAGAGTGGTCTCTCTGGCCTCATGACCTTCAGCCTGGGTGGGCATGTGGACAGAGCACAAAGAGCTCCCCAACTCCATCCCCCTCCAAGGGACCATAGATGCCAGCAAACCTGTCAAGCTGTCCACCCACCCCCTTCCTGCGTTTCAGCTTCCACACACTCACAGCCCCAGAATAAAGCCCCACAGACCTGCTACAGCAAAAACCGTAGCACCAGTAAGACACCTTCGAGAACCGAACTTCACACAAGTGCCGTCCTGCTGCTGCAGAGCAGAAACGCTGCAGCAGCAGAGAGAAGCCTTGCGTGAGTTGAGGTCCCAGCCTTCCCAGCTGCCTGAAGCTTTCGCCCCCTTCCTCACATGCCTCTGTCAAAAAGCAACATCTCAGATGCCTTGGTGAGCTGAGACCATGTAAGACAGAGGCCGGCAGGGAATGCTTCTCAAGGTTTGGGAAAGCATTTCAAATATGTGGTACCAGTAGGCACACTGGGTGGCTCTGAC